ATCGAAACGTGAGCACAAGCTTCAACGGACATCTCCGCCATGGAGGATAGCGAGCTACGGCAAGCTGCAGACGCCTTGCTGCAGAAGCTTCAACAGGCTCAGGTAGTCCCGAGCGGTGGAACTGACCGCGAAGAAGAGGACATCCAGCTTATGGAGCTCATGGAGCTCAGCAAAATGCCGCAGCCCGAATGCGTCGCATCGACAGGATCTCTATATCGTAGCCCAGTCCGCGATCCTACAATCGCTAGAGAGGTCGGCGCGGGCGCGTCGAACCACTTCAAGAGCGCACAATGGTCGCCAGACGGCACCTGTATCATGACGAACAGCGCGGACAACCACCTACGGACCTTCGTGCTGTAAGCATTCAAGCCTGCGCGCAGTCTCTTCTAACGGCTAACCAACACATAGCCCATAGACCTACGGACCTTCTCACAGAACCAACCATACATGCATTGGCACCTTATGCGTCGCTGCACCAGCAAGTCTACGCCTACGCGCCCCATCCGCTCTTCTCCCTCTCAGACCTCAGTTCCACCCTCGTCCTCAGCAGCCACCGCGACCTTCCGCTCCGCTTGTACAACGCTCTCGCCTTCGACGCTGGCATGGTAGCCAGCTATCCACATGTAAATCCCCTCACGGAGGAGTACATCCTCACGCACTCACTCGTCTGGACAAGCTCTGGCACACACTTCATGACAGGCAGTGAACACCAGCTGAGTGTCTTCGATATCAGTCGAGATGGAGAAGGCCCGGTCACACGCCATTTCGCCGGCTCGTCAAAGTACAAGGCGAAGAACGCGTTGGGCGGGATGAGGGGGATCGTCTCGGCGCTTGATATCAGCTGCGAGGGCTACCTGGCTGCGGGAACATTCGCGCGAAACATTGCGTTGTTCGGCGATGAGGGCCGTGAGGAGTGCTTCTCCTGCTTCTCTGTCGCTGGGTTCAGCGACAAAGACGAAAAGATTAGCGGCACGGGCATAACGCAAGTGAAGTGGAGTCCCTGCGGTCGGTATTTGTATGTTGCGGAGAGGAAGAGCAATGGAGTGCTCGTGTACGACATCCGAGTCGCTGGCAAGAGACTCGGTTGGCTGGCCGGCCGGAAGTCGAACACGAACCAGCGGATGGGCATAGATGTCATTGCAACAGCCGAGGGGCACGAAGTCTGGGCAGGTGGGATTGATGGGAAGGTCCGTGTGTGGAGTAATCCTACCGACGTAGATGGAGAACAGAGACCTGGTTTCGAGTGGCAGGCTCATGAGGGTAAGACGTCCCGTGCAGATCTTCGACGGTGTGGCATGCTCACGCGATGCGGTACAGACGCGGTCTCTTCGGTCATTGTTCATCAATCTGGCTCGGTGATTGCAACTTGCTCTGGACAACGGCATTCGCCCTCGACTGTCGCCCACGAGCCGTCTAATTTAGATGATCCAGATGACTCTTTAAATTCAGATGGTAGTGAAAGCTCTACGGAGGCAGGCAGTGAAGACACAACTCCTTTCTTTCCTTCGACTTCCACATATGTACCTACTTACGACAACACCCTTAAGATTTGGGCAATTTGACCAAGCTATCCGATATTCAACTGGAGCGGTAACAAATTCAAGTGGATGCTGGCGTCTTGGCCGTCTGCGCGGTATCAGCAAGCCTTCCGCTGTTTTCTCCTCGGTGAGCTGATACATCGTCCGTCAAAAGCATAGAACACAAGCGAACAGTGTCTTTCAGTGGAGGTTTCCACAGCTTTGAGGCGAGGATGTAAGTATGCGATAATGTCTCACAACCGCATTTGGTCCTCCTTCACAGTACTTCAGACTCTAGCAGCCGAAGCGGCTTGTAAGTGCAATCCTTGTTATTTCCAACGATCGAGAAAAAGAATCCAGCGGCATCATGCATCCTCTTACCACCCGCTCTCTTTGATTGATTGTGATGTTTGACAGAGGTCTCGTTGCTAGAGCGCGATGCGTCTAGCGATTCCTGAGCCCTCTGATGATGTCGGCTTTGTCCATGGAGCGTTTGTCAATCTGCAGAGCTCCATGCTTGCAAAGCATCCCAGCTTATAACTCTTCGTAGCGCCTCCATCAAGCTGTGCCTAACACATTAACACAGCATTCCCGCTTCCATAGGAACAGTCGTCATCGCACCCTTATCCAGCGTCTCAGCTCTCGCAGAATCAACTGTTATGGCTCTCGCAAACGTACTGGAACACCACCCTGTTGTCTCAGCCCTAGTACTAATCGTCATACCATCCCTGATTTGGCTGATCACCCACGGGCGGTTCGCTCCCCGCCCCCAAAAGACGCGCCCATATCCGTAAACTACCACTTCACGCGCCAATGCAACAAAACCTGCAGTTTCTGCTTCCACACCGCGACAACTTCCCATAAGATGTCCGAACACCAAGCCAAGGCTGGCCTCCGCCTCCTCAAAGAAGTCAGCATGCAGAAGATCAACTTCGCGGGCGGAGAGCCTTTCCTCTACAAGCCCTTCCTGGGCCACATGATCGAGTTCTGCAAGATGCAGCTCAAGCTCGACAGCGTCTCCATCGTCACGAACGGCAGCCTCATCACGCAGAAATGGCTCGAGAGTTACGGGAAATAGTCGATATCCTGGCCGTTTCGTGCGACTCGTTTGACGAGGCGACGAATGTCGAGATCGGGCGCGGAGTGGGAATAACGTGGAGCAGCTATTTCGGATCAAGGAGTAGTACCGGCAGTACGGTATCAAGTTCAAGCTTAACACTGTGGTTAACAGGCTTAACTTCGAGGAGGACATGGTGGCGACGGTCGAGCAGCTGAATCCGTTTCGTTGGAAGGCGTTCCAGGTGCTGATGGTGGCGGGGGAGAACGACTCTGAGACCACGCTGAGGGATGTCCGGAAGTTCCAGATCAGTGACGAGGAGCTTGGGCTGTTTTGCAAGAGGCATGGGCACCTGAGATGTTTTGTGCCGGAGCCGAACAGCCTGATGGCGACGAGTTATCTTATTCTGGATGAGTATATGAGGTTCTTGGGGCGCAAGGACGGGAAGAATCAGGCTTCGAGGGGTATTTTAGAGGTTGGGGTCAAGCAGGCAATGAGGGAGGTTTTCTGGGACAAGGAGAGCTTTGAGGCGAGGGTGGGGTGTATGACTGGAAGAGGGAGGAGGGGGCTGGAGAGTGTGGGACTGATGCGGAGGGAAGGCTCTGCGGGATGCGCTGGCGGCGTTGGAGTAGGTGGAGTTCTGCGTGCTAGGAGATTGTTACACATGCTGGGAAGTGTCTAGATACGTGGAATTGAGATTTCCTTTTCATGTCGGCGCTATCAGCTGGGGACACGACATGTAAAAGTCAACATCACTATTCCAGGATGAAGGGCTCCATGGCCTCGAACAACGTATACCCAAAGCCTGCAATTGGAAGCCTGAAGTCGATGGAAATCTTTTCCAGCCTTGCTTCTTCACCACTTATACTGCGACAACGCAACTCGATCCTATACTGCTCTACTCCAAGACCATTAGACGTTTGGAGCGGGAAGATAGTTATCCCGTCTCCACGATCGAGCACAGCTTGGGAGCTTGTCACCTTGTGCAGCTAGGCAGCATGGGGCCAAAGGATGAACAGGATCAGAATGACTCCGCATCACAATTTAACGGTTGCCCTGAAGCTTCCCTTGTTTTCCTCTATCTTCATCAAACTCGACCTATACGCCATCATTGACCCACCATGACTTCCCAACCCCGCCTCATCGACCGCGATACCAGCACGCGAACGAAGCCCATGCGGCTGCTCGTGCTCGGTCTATGCCGGACAGGCACATCGTGTATGCCGCGTGAAATGTCTCTCATTCAGCGATGAAGCCTGACTAACCGGACAAACGCATCAAGCCATGTATGCCGCCCTCGAGCAGTTAGGGTATACACCGCACCACATGAAGGAATGCATGAAGAACCCCCAATCACTCCGGTACTGGAGCGAAGCGGCGCGGATCCGCTACTTCGACGCGCCTGGCGCGCCCTACGGGCGTGACGAGTTTGACAAGCTGCTTGGAGAGTATGATGTCGGTTTTCCCCCGTCCCCCTCCCCCGCTCCACCAGCGTTCGCGGGCATCTCTGGCAGCAGCAGACTAGCGAGCTAACAACACCCATCCAGGCCGTGACAGACTGCCCCTCCGCCTTCTTCGCCACAGACCTCATGCGCGCCTACCCAGAAGCCAAAGTAATCCTGACCGTCCGCCCGCCCCACAAATGGCACGCGTCGATGCTCGCCACGATCTGGGAAGCCTACACCTGGCGCAGCATGCACATCCTCTCCTACCTGGACCCCTTCTTCGTAGGCACAAACTTCGAGTTCCTGAATGTCTTCTTCCGCCAGCTCTGCAACAATGACCCGGGGCAGGCCATGATCGACGGGTACGAGAGACACAACGAGGAGGTGCGGAGGGCGGCGAAGGAGCTGGGCAGAGAGTTTTTGGAATATGATGTTGTGCAGGGATGGGGCCCGCTGGTGGAGTTTTTGGGCGTTGAGAAGCCGGAGGGCGAGTTTCCGAATGTGAATGATTCGAAGCATTTTGTGGGCACGTTGAGGATGATGCGGAACTTCAGGATTATGGTTGTGCTGGGGAAGGCACTGGTGCCGGTGGCGGTGGCAGGTCTGGCTTGGTGGTTGTATAGGGGAGGTAAATGGTATTCTAAACAGAAGCGGAATTGAGCAAAGCTGAGGGGTGGTCGGCGCGGAGGCAGGAACGTGTAGCAAAAGATGGTCAGATATACTAGGTGTTCCGATTTAGGCGGGATGGCTTCTGCGAACATGTAACAACTGTGTGGAAATTCGGCATCGACACTCAATTACCCAAATCAATCTCTTCTCTAAGAGTTGCGTCCCGCAACAATTACATTTCATGTGTGAAAATCTCAAACTACGAAGTAGTCTGCACGGTCTGGGTCTTTGTCTTCGTCGAGTTCAAACTTTGGATATCTGGTAAGATTATTGCATCTATAACACATGAAGGGAGTCCTCACAGTACAGAATGGGTCCGTAGATCAGTGGTAGATCGCATGACTACGAATCATGAGGTCGTCGGTTCGAGACCGGCCGGACCCTCATCTTCTTTTGCAATTTGTTTGTGTGTTCGAAGAAAATATATTTTTGCGCCGGCGTTGAGCGAAGTGGAGGTAGAGTGTGGGTCACGGTAAAGGTCTGTGCGCACGTAAGCATTGGTTTTGGACGAAAACGGCTAGGTGTTTCCATTCTTGCTCCTTTCGGGCTTGGGAGTAGGAATCCCGTGATCTCCGGTGCTATATGTCCTGGTATAAGACTCCGGCAAATGCTAAGTAATACCGACTTCCAGCTTCATGGTGGCTATGAGTGATCTGGGAGCATCTACTGCTCATCTTCCTCTGCCCCGTCCTCGCCCCCGGAATCCCCCTCTCTTCCCACCAGCACCTCTTGGTTTCCGCTCATACAGCTTCTCTACCCCGAATCCGGCATCCGCGACACGTAGGAAGCTTGTAATACCCTGATCAACAACTGCGATAATCACGTTCCGGTATCCATGCTTGAGCTTCTGATACAAGTTGCCGTCCATCTTCGGCGGATCATAGGGGACTGTTGCCAATAGATCGTTGAGCTGGTCTGATGTGGGTAAGAACGTATCGCGGGCGCTGACGACGCATATGTAGAAGTCTGGTGGGCCCGGGGCGGTCTTCTTGAAGGGTGTGTTCGGCTTCCAGACATTGTACGTGATGTGGAAGGGATGCTCGTCCTCCGAGGGGACGTCAGCCGTCGAGAGTGTTGGTGGAGCGGTGGGATCGTGGGACGGTATAATTTGGAGCAGTCGGTAGATGTCATCTGATGCTCAGTCAGCTTGAACTCCCATGCGCAGCGCCCAGATGACGGCCTCAAGCGTGTGCTCAGTGATCTCGGCTGCCAAGTTACATACTGTATGACCGATATAGGCCCGGCGTCACGAGCGGACCTGATGCTAGGCGCCCATGCGGATGTCTCGGCTCTGGGGCGCTTAGTCTCCGCCATATCTTAGAGAAGAAGCCAGAGTTCCAGTGTTTACTCGGCAGCTCGAGTGGTGGAAGGCTCTCTGGTGGGATCTCCCAGTAGGCCCGCCCCAGCTTGGCGCGCGGTGGACTACATATCCGAGCCGCTTGAGGTACGCGAATACAGTGTAACGCTCAAGCGTCAAGCTGCCGCCTCTCGAGGCCTCGAATCCGATAAATGTCGCGTAGGCTCCCTGCAGGCTCATAGGCACACCGTAGTCGCTTGATGGTCGTGATTCCTCATCCTGTTGCTCTTCGCTTCTCTCCAGCCGCTGCTCAGATCCACCGTCATCGTGGTCTTTGGAGTGGATAGCCGGCCACCGGATATCTAGAGTGCCCTTTCAAGCAGATAGAGCGCTTCTTCGGGCAGCAGCCAGAGCCTGTTGTTTCCCACCGCCTTTCCCATGGTGCGATAATGGGTATTTCTAGGCTTATCGACATATGCCATATTCACAGACGGCTCATACACAGCGATCTCGTGATTTTTCGGCACGTGTACACGGGTTACCGCGACCGCGTCGTGCATTGCCTGGCGGCTGGCTTCGAGGGTGGAGGCTTGCTGAGCGGTAGGATGCGGTTCGAAGTCCTTCTCGCCACGCTTGGGTATCTTTCCTGGAGCGCCATTCGATTTGCTATCAGCTTCAATCAGCTTTTGCCTCCATGGAGCCTCATGCGGGAAGCTCCTTCGTATTCGAGGATGTCAGATGAGGCCTCGTACAGAAAATTGGAGAGCAGGCGGAAATCCGGCACTTCATCATCTACCTCCGCATCGTCTGGAGGGTTAGATTCAGTAGGCTGCGGCAGGTCCTCGTCTACGTCCGCCATGGTGATAACGGAGGCTCAATGGCGTATGTTTGTTGCGCTGAAGCCCTCTAAGCATTTCTTGGTGGGGGGCCTTTCGAAGCTCTGACTCGGCGCGCAAACCGCGTCTCCCGGCCTCGGTTGCGGCCGTGTTTGGCGGCTTTTGAGCGGCTTTTGGCGCCATCCCACCCCAATCCGGTGCCTGTCCTTCCAAGTTCCATGGACAACGAAAGCGGTCAGTGACATCAACATGCTTTAAATCCCGGACGCGTGTTGCGGAAAGTGCCCGGACACGGCTCGCCGTCGCGGCTCGCCCACTCCGACAATAGAGCAAGCGCGTGCCGCCGGATGCAGATAAAGATGCCTCTCTTCCGTTTACTGCTGTCTGTACGAGTATTCAGGCCCCCGTAAGGACTTACTATCGCTGTCCTGCGGACCACTCAAGCGTAATCATGTCCCTTAGACTGTCTGTTTCTCTGCCTCTGAGCCTGCTTAGCCTGTCTTTTGCATCTATCGTGTCCGCGCAATCCGCGTCCTTGTCTCCCGCCGCGCAAGCTGCTCAGGCTGGCGCATCTCAACCCCTCAGTCCTTCGTTTGCAGGTTTCGGTCTCGAGCCTTCGAACCTGTACTCCTTTACTGGAGGCTCAAGGAACAATGACCTTACAAGTAATCTCCTCAACACTCTCACCCAATACTCCGGCGCACCGCCAGCCTTTCGTATCGGCGGCAATACTGGCGACTACATGATATACGATGAGTCCTACAACGGCTATCAACTCCGGGAGAACGCCAATTCGCAAGGCGCAGGAGCCATTGCAAGCGATTCGTCGTACTTCGGGCCTACGTATTTCGAGGTCATCGATAGGTGCTTTCCGGCCGGCACGCCCATTGCCTACCAATTGAACATGGCTTGGGATGGAGATGGATACATAGAGAATGTTGTGAGGCAAGCGCAGGCTGCGGTTGACCGCTTTACCAACGTTCAGCTACAGTCGTTCGAGATGGGCAATGAACCGGATCTATGGCTACAGAACGGCTTCCGTACTGGATCATGGGATGGTCAAGTCTATACCGAGCAGTGGCTTGAGCGTGTAGCAGCTGTCTACAGTCGGGTCTTGCAGCCAGCCGGTATCCGAAGCAACTTCTTTGAACCTCCGGCGACTGCCTCAACTATGGGTACCACTTTCGAGATTAACACGCTCGTTGAGTACGGCATCACAGAACCTGGAAATAACGCCCCCAATGGGTATGTGAGCGCTTGGAACCAGCACGACTACTTCTACTTCATAACCGTGACTCCGTACCCAATTACCCTCGACCATCTCCAGGTCCTCCGCAACACCGAGAACCAGTTCCGGTACTGGGAGAGCCAGGTCGCGCAAGCCATGGGAACCGGTCTCCCATACCATCTCCGCGAGATGTCCAGCGTCGGACCCATCGGCCAAGAAGGCGTCTCCGATACCTTCGGCGCCTCGCTCTGGACGCTCAATTTCTTCCTCTACACCGCGACCCTCAACATCTCATCCGTGCAGATGCACATGACGGACAACTCATTCGCCAGTCCCTGGCAGCCCGACCGGCGCTACGATCGCGACCCCCACGTGCGCCCAAACTACTACGCCTACACCGCCATGGCGCAGCTCATCGGCTCCGGCAACGGCACCACGCAGGTTGCCCGCCTTGCGATGCCCGGCCTGCCCCCAAACTACGGTGATAGCGTCCGCTGCTACTCCGTGTATCGAGATGGCTCGCTCTCCGCCATCGTGATGATCAACTCCAAGCCCTCCAACGCCTCCGAAACGAACAAAGCGAGCCTAACCTTCGACCTCGCCCTCCCCTCCTCCCTCGCCGGCGAAGCGCTCTACCTCTCCTACCTCACCGCTCCCGGCGGCGACAGCCAGACCGGCACAACCTGGAACGGCTTCTCGTACGAAGAATCCAACGATGGCATCCCCACCGTCGTCTCAGACACCGTGCAAACCGTCCCTATCTCCAGCGACGGTAGCGCTAGAGTCAGCGTCCGCGATAGCGAGGCGTTGGTGGCGAATGTCGGGTTTCGGCTGGGCGACAGGGCGGTGCTGGCGCCGAACGGTAGTACGACGGCTTCGAGTTCGAGTTCGCAGACGAGGACAAGGAGCGCCGCGAGCAGTGCGGAGAGTACGCGCAATGCGGCTATCGTGACGGCGGCGGCGACGACGACGGTCGCGTTGTTGGGGAGTGCGACGCCGGAGGCTGCGGAGGGGCAGCGGCGACGAGCCAGCCTAGCAAGGCATCGAAGGGGAATGGGAGGGGAAGAGTAATGGTGATGCTTGGAGCGATCGTGGCAGGGGCGTTGATGGCTGGGATTATGTGGTAATGTGGATATGTGGATATGACTTGCATATGTTAAAGACTTAACGTGTTTACGGACGGATGTGTGACATGAGGGCTTCAGGCATCTTTAGGTGCATGCATAGATGACAGCATAAAGGAGTAGTTGGATGCTTTCAGCGATTTGGGTAGAGGCAGCTACATGGCGGAGCTAGAACCGCGTCCGCTTAAGGCACATAATGTAATCGGCATTGCAGATGCAGGTGGTATCTTTAACACCGTTCAAGACTGCCTATGTGATCCTATTCCTGCTCGCATGAATCTTGGTAGAGAACGGCTAGGTGCCTGGCTTGACACGTCGGCAATTTCTCTAAATTTTAGTGTCCTTCAAAGTAAAAGGTGAGTCGGAAGACGGAGCGTGCTGCTCTTGCACGAACGCAGTAGCGGCGCGTAATACCGGCAGCTCTTTCAGCAGCTATCTTAATACAGGCCCAGGTGGCTCCCTTGATGGCTCCGATGGCAGCTCCCGTACCGTGGCAGTTCTAGGTGTGATTCCGACACCATGCCAAGCATCGCCAATTCACACCGCCCCAACTGTGGCTGGCTGAGCGCTAGGCAACGTACCATGAGTCGCGGGACGCATTTGGCACGGACTTTACCCAAAAGTTTCCCAAAACTGTTGGTACGCTGTCTGGTGTCGCGCTAACGCATACGAAACTCCGCATTCGGGCTTTTCGTCTGTAGGGAATACCTACGTATTTCCATATCAGGTTGGCTTTTCGCTTCCCGATGCATGAAGCTTACACTTCAGACGTAAGAGTGAGTGGATCAGCTCCCGAAACGGCGATATCAGTCCACCGGAGCCGCTGCAAGTTCAGCTAATGTGAATATCCTGTGCTCCATTTTTTCCGAATAGGAGTCGCTGCCTCGGCGAATTTTCCT